TTTTTAGAACAAAAATAATTATCATAATGTTAAGAAAATCTAAAACTTAAAAAATATTAATATTCATATATTAATACTATCCATAATATTACTATCATGTGGTGTATAAATAAACACTCTTTATCCTACATCTCTAACCTAATATCAACAACCTAATAATCTCCCCACTCAATCCTACCGTACTTAATCCAAAAAAAATCTCACAACCATCTTTCACACTTATAACACAAACATCACAAAAATAATCAAAAAAGTCGATTAAAAATATCAAGTGCGTTAGACGAGAGACTAAATACATACGTGTTCATCAAGAAAATGAAAGTGTGGTTGCTATTACAAAGTGTATTCTACCGAATCAGGAACATCATATGACATCATAGTTCACCTATAATAATTATCGTCGTCATTACTCTACTATATTTTTTTTGTTTTTACCTGTTATATAACTCTTAATTTAAATTTGCTTATAAAACCTCTTCACATAGTCTAAAAACAGATAAAATACGTGGTTCTATAGCTTGGGCAATGTGTTTATTAGTTGAGAATGGATACAAGAGGAAGAAGCCGTGGAGAACCGGGACGGTCAATTAGAAGGCACCAGGACAAACACGTCGTCACTTATTGAAACCCATAAACAATAAAAATAAAATGTCGATTGTAACTAAACTCTCTGGATGAGAAGCGAGCTCAGAATTCATTCTTTGAGCAAGTCTTTCGTTGGAAAGACGTTAACGAGAAAAAATTTAAAAAAAAAAAAAAAAAAACACAATAAACGCAGGTTCCTTACGACCACCCTCGTGTTTTCAATTGTAAAAAAATTTTCTTGTAATTTTTTTTTTAATAATTATGTTTTGGTTTAAAAGGATTCAAAGAATAAAAGAAATTTATTGTCTTAAACTTAACAAAAATAAATCCTTTTCTCCCCAAAAGGTCTATTAAAACAAATTATTATCCAAAGTCTATATCTTATAGACCACCAATAATGAATACATGTCATTTTTATATTCTAATATATATTGACCTAAATTATGACGTAAAATAATTTAGCAATAAGAGGTGTTTTTATTTCAAAATTATTATTAAAAAAAAAGAAAGAAAAAAATTCAACTTATCATCAGGTAAATGTTTCAATGACGTAAAATTAATGACAGGTACAGAGGAAACACTAGTTTAGCAAATGAATAGGAGTTTATTGAGTAGTTTTGGAGTAATATATATTTTGATACTGAAAATTGTTCAGTTAGTTCATAGAATCCAGCATAAAAATAATAGGATTCTTTTTTGAAAAAATCAAATTATATATGATGTTTGTTTGAGAATTGGTTTTCAATTTTCAGTGCCCGTTGTAACTTACTTTTTTTTTTTTAATCAAATTTTTGGCTTTCAAATTTTTTATGAAAAAAATTAATCACTCCTATTTTGTTTGAGTTTTTAAAAGTAATTTTTTTTTAAAATTTTATAATCCTTTTAGTTTTTAGTGAACGTTTTAAAACTTTCAAAAAATTGTTTTTTACATTCACTTAATCTACATAACATACACTTAAGGTAGCAAAATTTGTGAAAAACATTTATAAAAAATTACTAAATACTAAAAATATTAAAAAAATCATATTTATTATTTTATTTTTTTAAAGCTTTTACAATGTAAATTAAGTAGATTTAAAAAGTAAAATAAATTTGATTAAACTGGTTAAAAAGGTTTCTGAAAACAAAAACAATATAATTTAAATTCAAATCAAACAAAGTAATGTGTTTGGGAATAATTTTTAGTTGAATAAATAGACAGAAAAATAGCGCATTCATACATATTTCTTCTCTATAAATCCTCTTCTAATGATGATGTGACAAAATGACACATACTCCTACAGTCTCATCTCTTCTCACAAATCTTTTCATACAATTTTTTCTCTATAGATTCCTCTCTAATGATGGTGAACAAATGACCACATACTCCTACATTATCTTTCTTACAAATCTTTTCAATGTAACATTTGTCACGTCATTTGAAGAAGTTTGTGAGGAAAGATTTTGTTTGTATGTAACACTGTTAAAATAGGTTATATAAAAAAAAAATTAATTGCTTATATGATGTTTAATTTTACTATGAAATGAAATTTGTTAGAATTTTTTTTTAAAGTAAATTTTTGACTTCATAATTTTTTATTCTTAATTTTTTTTTTAAAAAAAAAAAAAACATGTTGCCAAGAACTCATTAAACGAATATGCACACTAATGACGACACAAGCAGCTGGGTGACCCACTTTTCAAGTAGCCAAATAGGGATTTGACGCTGCGGATCACGCGGTCTTGCATTGGTCCAGTCGGATAATTATTCAGTTTTACTTCTATACCAATCTTTATAACCAAATGTTAGTTGTTTTTGTCAAAAAAAACTTCAAATATTTAATTTCTAAATTCTCATAATTTTTAAAATTCTCTATTTCCTACGTGGGCAACCTTCTTTGAACCTTTTATGTTTTAATATTTTTTTCATTTTCTTATTTGTTTTGATTAATGAAAATTAAAAAATTAAAATTAATTTTCGTTGCTTATGGATAAAGAATTGAATGTCAAAAATTCCTCCATATAGATAAACATATAAAACTGAAAATTAAAATTTTATTTTGTCTACAGATAAATGATAAAAAAATACAACATAATATAAAAAAAATTAATTTCATAGCTTATAGATAACTTGAAAATTTTTTCCCACCAAAATAATCATATAAAAGTTGATAAATAACCTTATAAAAATTTTTTTTAAAATTTCATGGCAGACAAATAAGATAAAGATTAAATTAATCAATTTTTAAAAAAAAAAAATTAAATTCCTTTTTTTTCCCTTCCTTTTGTACTTTATTAATTTCATTATAGATAAGCACTATAAAAATCATAAATAATTTATGAAAATTTTATTCATGACTATAGATGAAGAATAAAAATTAAAATTTAATTTCATGACTTATAAATAAATAAACATTAAAAATTGATAAATAATTTATAAAGATTATTTTGTGGCCTATAGATAAAGATAAAGATTAAATAATGATTTACAAAAAAAATTAAAAATAATAAAATTTAGAATAAGATATGATTTGTTAATCTATATATCTAATTCTAAATCTTTATTTTGATTTACTATATTTTTTTTTTCTCCTTCTATCACATATTACTTTTTTATTTTAAATTTTTTATCTTTTGAAATGTCTTATCATAATTTTATATCCTCTAATTCTTAACGCTCTCTTGATCATTTTATTATTCTTTTATTATCTACAAAGTGATAAGATTAAAAAAAAAAAATTATTTGGCTCTGAAGAAGAAGTAAATTAATATGAAATTGGTTGGCATCTGAAATGAAAAGAGTATTAATAATGAAATAATAAGGTGCATGGGAGAAGCGTCCAAAAATCTCACAAAATTAATTTTTGTCATTATATTATACAATGGTAAAAATTTGATATCTTTCTATTTTAGTTATTTAAAATAGTGCAATTCAAAAATAATAATTCTAAAAAGTAACAGTTTAGATTAACGAGGTGATCACTCTTCACAATATTTGGACTTTAAAATATTTGTGGGTTTATCTTCTATTTGAAATTGATAAGTAATCCTAATAGTTTTAATCCATTTTATTTATAAAAGATGATTGAAAAATAATTTGAATTATACTTGAAGAAATTTAACCTATATAATTTTTTTTTGGTATATAATGATTCAAAGCTATCATTTGTTATATTTCTTCAGTACAATTCAAATAATTTTTCATCATTTTTTTCTAAATAAAAATGAAATTAAAACTATTTTCCTTATAGTTTTTATATCTAACAAAATTCTTATCTTGATAATTTTTTTTAAAATGATGTAGACTATGCAAGTATAGTTATTCAAATCATAGAGAATGTTTATACTTTTTGACATGATATGCGGTGGGTCATTGAATAAAGGAAAATCAAAGATAGAGAGTTACTAACATAAATCATTAATGATTTGTTTAAGAAGTTCTTAGACAAGGTGACCCATTATCACCTTTCTTGTTTAATATTGTGGCTGAAGGTCTCAATATTCTATTGGTGAGAGCTCTGTAGAGGGGATTGATTAAAGCGGCAGTGGTGGGCTCAAATAATGTTAGGATCACCTATCTCCAGTTTGTAGATGACACAATATTATTTTGTGAGGCAAAATGGGAGGAGATTATTGTTATCAATAGGATCTAGAGATGTTTTGAAGTATTATCTGGGTTGAAGATTAATTATCATAAGAGTGTAGTATGTGGGGTTGGGATTGATGATGATCTTACTAAGGAGTTTGCTACAAAATTGAATTGTTTTCACAAAAATTTGCCATTAAAATACTTAGGGCTGCCACTGGGAGCTAGTCCAAGAAAAAAGAGGACATGGCAACCAGTGATTGATAAATGCAAACAAAAATTGGCTTCTTGGAAGAGGAGGTTCCTATTCTTTGTTGGTAGATTGACACTGATAAAATCTTTGCTATCTAGTTTACCAATTTATTTCTTATCTTTGTTTAAGATGCTAGAATGTGTTGCAAAGGAAATAGATAAAATTCAATCTGGATTCCTATGGGGAGGTGATGAGCTTAGAAGGAAAATTCATCTGGTCAGTTGGGAGAAGATTTCAAAAAGTAAAAGCAAAAGAGGTTTAGGATTTAAGAGAATTAGACTTATGAATGATTGCCTTCTTTTGAAGTGGTGGTGGAGGTTTGGGTCTGAAAATGATACATTGTGGAAGCAAGTGATTTGCAGCAAATACGGTGAGACTGGAAGGCGATGGTGGCCACTACCTGTGGTTAGTCTCAGGTCTTCTCAGATCTGGAAAGGTATTATGGGTGTTGCCTGGTATAGTCCTGAACTAGTTGATTTCTTCAAAAGCAACATAAGTCTAGTTATTGGGGATGAGAGGAGAACAAGTTTTTGGGTGGACAAATGGATTGGCAATGTTTGTTTGAAATAGGTATTTCCCAGACTGTATTCTTTATCAATGGACAAAGCTATATCAGTGAAGTTGGTGCCAAGTAGGAGAAATGGGACTGAGGATGAAAATTTTAAATTCAGAAGATATCTATTCCAGTGGGAGGAGGAGGAATTGGGGAGGTTGTATGAGATGTTACTCAATGCTCCTGTCCTTAGGGAAGAAATGAGTGATAGATTGAGATGGGGCACAAAGACATCAGGGCTATTCTCTATTGCCTCAACATACAAGTGGTGTAAGTGGAGTTTTGTAGATAATAGTAGAATAGTAGATTTCATTTGGAAGAATGTTTCTCCACCTAAGGTTCAATTCTTCAGTTGGTTAGCCTGGAAAGAAAGGATTAAGACATCTAGCTATTCACAAAGAATTAGAGTTCTCAGTGATGATATAGATATTAATTGTATTTTTTGTAAAGAGGTGGTGGAGAGTGTCAACCATGTGTTACTTTTTTGCCCCTTTACTTGGAAGATTTGGTCTAGAATTTTAAACTGGTGGGGTATACAATGGGTAATATCTGGGTCTGTGAATAGCCTTTTAAATTGGTGCACTGGTATTAAGCTTAAAAAACAGAAGAATATGATCTGGAGAGCACTCCCCCTAGCTGTGCTTTGGTCAATTTGGAAGCAGAAAAATGATAGCATCTTCAACAATGTACAGGTAGATCTTGATGGTCTGTGTGAATCCATTAAGGTTAGGATTGTATTGTGGGTTAAAACTTCTTGTCCATCCTTCAAGTCCTTAGTGGATGACTCAGTTCATAATCTTCAACAAGTGAAATTTTGCATAAGGGGTGAGACTTGAGTTGTCTGGGAGGTTGCTGTTATCCCCTGTATCGGTGGGTCTGCTTGTAACGAGCCCTCAACGTATAATAATTAGCTTTTAATTAATCAAAGAGATATGGATTTAATTGCCCATTACTCTGATTTAACTCGAGACTTATGATTTAACTCGTATATGATTCTATTGAGGATTCATTTTGGAATTAGAAATTGAAAAAAATCTAAATGGCTCAAGAGAGTACAAATGGTGAATCGAATTATTTTAATTTGGAGTATTGGACCATGTGGGAGTTTAATTAAATATTCGATTTAGATTTATAAATTGAGATTTGATTAAGTGGGTCTGAATTGAAGTTAATTAAGTTCAGAGAATTGAGAATTAAGATTATTATGAATTAAATTCATTTATGTGGTGCTTAATTTGAATATGTAATTTATTGACGAAATTTTGAGTCTGATCATAAATTGAAGGCTTAAATGATTTAAGAAACTAAAATTGAGGATAGAAATAAGTTTAATTTAATATTTAGAGCCTTTTGGGAATTTGATTAAAATTTAGATTCAGAATGGTAGAGATTAAATATAATTAATTGGGATATAATGGAAGTCAAATTAGACTGAGTAAATTATGTGGGATTTCGATTAGTTGTGATTAATTAAATTATGTACTAATCAAGTGTTAATTATAATTAGTTAAGACAAAAGTGGGGTTTAATTAAGTCAATGCATAAATTAGTAATTTAGTTAATTTTAGAGCCTTCTAATCTTTTAATATTGGAACCTTGTGCACGTGTGAATAGTGTTGAATCAGGAAGTGGGTTTGGTATATGTGGTGCCAATTTCAAGTGATAAAGTGGGCTTACTCATTTTCTTCTTCAGAAACTATTTTTGTTGAGTATGGTTTGGTGAGGGAGAGAAGAACCGAGAGAGAGAGAGAGAAGTCCAACTTTTATGCTGGAAAAAGTTTTGGAGAAATGGGTTTAAGAGATCTAAATGAAGATAAAAGAGAGAACTCAAGGAATTAAAAAGAAATTCAGCCATGGAAGGTTAAAGGAAAGGATTTTAACCTTGATCGTTGTAAAATCCTTGTATCACACTCGGAATTAAAGATGAGTTTGGCTCAATTTCATGTAATTAAAAGGGTATTAGCAAGATGATGAATAAATGAAGTTATGTTCAATTTATGGAAATTAATTTAGAAATTAACTATTTTGGGTTTGATTTTGGAACATCATGCATGAATTGAGTTTAATTTCTACATGCATGGGCAAATCCTACAAGTCCTAGTACTCTAAATGTACATGCATAATAGATTTCTTAGAATTGACTTCATGTTTTGATGAAATAAAAGCTAACCTTTGGAAAATTAAACATTGATTTAATTTTGAATATAGAAAATTAATTAGTTTTAATCTTAATGTCATACATGCAAATACTTTCCTAAGAGTCATATAACTTTAATTTCATGTACATTAAAAGGAATTAGTAAAATGGTGTAGAAATTGAATTAGATTCAAAATTATAGAAGTTAATTTGAAAATAACCATTTTTGGTTTGAATTTATTTGTCTTACATGAAATTGAGTTTCAATCACACATGCATCATGAATTTGCAAGAGTTTTGGGAGTCTAATTCATGTTTTAAAATTTGTGGGTTTGATGGGGAGAAAATGAGTTTAAACTAAAATTTGAACAATTGTAGCATGATTTTGAATAAATGATTTCTAATTGAGAGTGTGTACTAATTGCACATTGGTTCTCCATATTTGTGTAAAAAAAAATACATGTTTTGAGACTTTGAATATCAAATATGAACTTCAATTACAATTCTGGAAATTCCAGAATTTACGATGTCCGCTCGAGCGAGAGTGAGGAAAGTCTCGCTCGAGCATGAAAATCGAGCTCCCATAAGGTTTTCAAATTTTACAGTCTGCTCGAGCGCCCAAAGTGGCGCTCGAGCGAAGACCCTATTTTTAGCATGTTTTGGAAAATTGCATTTAGTTCACATTTTTATTCTCATTTCTTCCCAAAGCATTCTGGACATGATTTATGGCTCAATAAAGATTAATAAGTTAACAATCAACCTTAATTAGTTGATTAAAAGAATAAGTCATTAACTTAGTAGTACTTGATTAAGAAGTCAAGTGAGAATTAGTTTATTCAGAAAAGAATGATTTAGTAATAAAAGGGGTTTATGAAATAAGAGCCCGATTCATTTGACTAAAAAAAAAATAAGCGTAGTGGACCTTCGAATTATTTAGACAGAAAACAAGAAAGTCAAGTTTGATCAAAGAAGTAATATTGTGCTTCAATGTGTATATGTTATGTGTTTGTATAGGTCACGCGTTATTGTCTGCTTGATCTGCCTGATCTATTTCTGCAACTATCTGTGAGTAATAACTTTGTAAAGTTATGTTCAATGTTAAATATTTTCTGAACATTTTGATATGAAATGATTAGTCTTCTGAAATGCTACACTATGTTTTGAATGAATGAAGGATTGTCCAAGATTCTGAAAGTTGTTCGTGGCATCCTTAGCATCATATGATATGCGTCCCTTTATGGGTCATCGGAAACGTCTCTGTGCACATGAGTCATCGGAATGCCTTCAAGGTCGTCCCTTCATGGGTCATCGGATTTGTTAACACTAATGGATGTACCACGTATGATTATATGCAAAATCTAAATATGAAAATGATTGTGAATATGTATATGAATCTGTTTCTAATTTGGAATCTGAATATGCATAAGAATCTGATTTCTGACTCTGTGATGGCCATCATTCATTAAACCCTTTACTCTGTTATTATTCATTGGGCATCAGCTCACTGTTTATATGTATGTATGTAGGTGATCAGGGCGTGACCAAGCTTAGAGGCGCTTGGAATCAGTCTTTGACAGCCAACCTATGTGTCTCCCGTCGAGGTTCCGGACATGTCTAGTGGTTATGGCTAAATGCATAAGTTGAAGTTTTGTTTTCCTGTTCAGCTAGACAAGCCTTTGTGTATTTTGTAAATAGGGCTAAGTCCCTTTTTGTCTAGCTTATATATATGTATATATATGATGATGTGTATATGTATGTATATGAAGTTTAAAATTTTTCTGTCTTATATAAGTCTGCACAGCTCAATGGATGTTGTATAATTGTTGTTTGCTTCCGTAGCCCCTAATTATATGTTATTCTGACAAGAGGCCTTTGGTAATCCAAGGGTTTCTGGCCGATTACGATGCTAAACCTATAAGGGCGGGTTTGGGTCGTGACAGAGTGGTATCAGAGCACGAGTTAATATCTCACACACGTGTCCATTGAGCATTGGAATGTCTAGAACAAATTTAAGTTTCATGCATATAGTGAGTAAGTAAGGAGTTGTGCATTCAAGAATATGTATATACGTTTGTGTAATGTGTTTAAGTATTGAAACTAAGTATTATGAGCTATTATGGAATTGTGATGATTATAAGGAAACTGGAATGTGTTTAATTAGTTTAGCAATGAGGCTAAAAGCTAAGAATTATTGAGATATTGAGAAATTACAAATGTTATAAGGAAATCAAAATTTTTGACTAGAACACTGGGGAGTACAAGTATGTTGATTTTTGGAAACAAGGTGTTATGAGAAATTAGAGTTTTTAATGGAAGCCATGAAAGTTACATGAGTTGGATGTCAAATTGGACTATGAGAATATTTGGGAAATTGAGGAATTTGATGATCAATGTAGTATGTGGAACTATGGTAATTGAGGATGAGAAAAGTATTTGATACGTAAAATGGTACATTTTGGCGGGAACCTATTATATGGAATGTTAAATTGTAGAGTCTCATGCCTTTGTTGAATGACCCTAAAAGTCCGATTAGAATCACGTTTGGCCAGCGTAGCTTCGAATCGAAAATTCTTGGTAAATTCCATGTGAATGACTAGGTTACCCTACCAGTGTCCTTATATGCCTATATGTGTATGACTACTTGTATATATATGTGCTTTGTGTTGTAATTCAAGTTAATTAAATTAACCCAAGTGTTGTCAACCATCTTCTTGTGTTTAACTCTTCTCTTCCGTCATTAGGAGAAGATGGTGAAAAAGTGTGAATGGAGTGGAAATTGAATCTTTATCAGAGTGATTAGGTAAAGTAGAAGAAGTACTAGAGACCGTGGTGAAAGCTATGAATCCTATCATACATGGCAAGATCAAAAGGAAGAGTTAAGTGTGGAAGTGAAAAATGAATTAAAGAAGAAAACTAAGAATTTTGTGGTAAGAAAGACGAGTAATTCTAGGCAAGGTTGTAAGAGAAGTAAGTTATCCTAGTATGTCAATATGTCACAAGATTCATCGGGGACTGTGTCATCGAATTACTAGAAATGTGAGAAGTTGGGGCATCAAATAAAAGATTGTCCCAAATCTAAGAGAAAGCTCAAATAATTTAACTGGTTAAGGATAGTACTTAAGTACAAGTAGGACTGCTTGAAGTTAATAGTTTATGTATGAGTGGTATTTTTAATAAAGCTATGTTTTGATGTTTTGGTAAAGCTTTGCTTTGCTTTGTTTTGGAAAAAAAAAATATATTTGATCAAGCATGAATGATGATCCATTAGTTCTGTATCAAGTATTAGCTTTGTTTTAATGACATTCTTGAAAGGTCCTTTCGTGCTAAGGGATGTTAAGTTTATGTAGAACCTTTGTTGACATATCTCTTTGCCATCGACGGTCATGTACGGATGGTATCACCGATGGTCTTGTATGGGTGGGTTACATTGTCATCGACAGTTTTCTGGGTGAATTGTCTAACCGATTTCGGGTCGGCCACCGACGGTCATAAACGGGTGTGCTTCGATTCTGGGGCGATTATTCCTTTGTTTTGTTAGGAATGTCATCTTTGTGTTAGATAGATGTTAGTAAACATCCCAAGAAGCTTTGAAAGATTTCAATTGATGATCTCGATTCATCCCATGTTTTGTTACAAGTTATGTTATGTATTGTTTAATAAAGATGGAACCCATTTGTTGGAACCTTTCAAAACATTGAA